TCATTGATAGAAACAAAACAAACGATAACGTCAGCGTTGACTGTCATATAGCCACATATTAAGAGTGAGACCATAATAGTGCTGATTTTCATCCTATGCACTCGAACGGCACGAAACGCACAATCAAGATACACCGCCCGATAAAAAAATCATGAAGAAACTTTGCTGACATCTGACAACTCGCCTCAAAACAACGTGGAAGAATGGTAAGGTTTCCAGAGCATTTAAACAAGTACTGAAAGTAGAACGCTTCACAACACTTTATTTCGATTTCTTTCGTGTCATTGTATAAAAAAAGTCATTATTTTTTATGATATGCTCATATATATGTATATATTTAAGTTGCTTTTTCCAAAAAGTCCATTTTGAAAATTATTTTTACGTTATTAAATGTTAACGAAACGCATATATACCGATTCGTTTTCCTTTTTTCACCCGTTTTGTGTCATTACACACATTTTCTTTCTTTTTTACTAGGACGGCCAGAAGAGATGTCCAACATAACGCCTTAATTAAATATACTTCAATTAAAGTAGCCGTTAAAAGTATGGCTTTTTTCAAAAGTAATTTATTATCTGTACTTTTGGGTGTATTAGTTCTTTCATATTTGTCTGCCGTTTTGGATCTAACAATTTACAGTTTTTCGCTTTTTTCACCACTTTTTTTTGTTTTTAGATATTGTTTGTTGTTACGGGAGAGCTGAAGACATTTGGTGGAATAAAACCTTTATATTAAATATTATTAATTTCACTGTGTTTTTGGATGTATTCGTTTTACTCAACTTCTGAACTTGTTTGTTTATATCATTATTTTCGGACATTTTGGTTTCTCTTTGTCTTTGGTTTGGTATTTGGGAAATTTTACTCCGGGAACCCACGAAATTAAAGGTTTGTTTTGCAATTGTTATAATTATTGTTGTTAGAACGACATTTGTGTCGACTATTTGTAAATTGCAAATAAATTTTGGTACCTAAATTGGAGTTTGGTTCTATTGTTAATTTGGCTTCGTAAATTGCAAATAGATCGATATACCGTACTTCAATAACGGAAAGAAGCGAAAACTTGGACGTAACAAAAAGTTCTTCGATTTTTGGTTCTGTGTTCATACCTTGGATTTTTCTGGACACTTTGGGTCCAGTTTCTGGTCCTATTGGTCTATCTCGTTTGGACTAATTCAGATTTGTTTTGGTAACTCGTTCATTGGAACAAAGGCACACGATGGAGACGCGAAGCAAAACACAAAAAGAAAATGATGAAATTGATAGAATAATTTCTAAAGCTGTTTGTGGTATGTCTGATGTTAATGATGATAAACGTGATGATGTTCGTGTTAATAGTATGCTCTCTGCTCAGTTTAGTACTTCTAGACTGAAGTTATCTATGGCGCTACTTAGGAAAAAGAATTTAGAAAAGAGGCTTGAATTAGAAATGCAGCTCAACATGTTAGATGTTCAAGAAGACATCGATGTTACTTAATTAGAATGTAAGGTCATGGAGTATAATCGGCTTTCCACAGATAAAGGCGACATGAATGCAAAGAAGGAAAGATATTTGGGTCGTAATATTGATTGTAATAATCGTTCCAAGGAGACATTTTATATTTAAAAGGGTTGTTGTGTTGATGAGTTGAGTGATACAGACAAATCTCGTGAAGGATATTCTGTAGAAGACAAAGGAGCCTTAGAAATAGTTAATGGTTCTGTAGGGCCAGTCAAATTCCACTGAGCCCTAGCCATTGAATATCGAACAAAATCATCAATCCTCGTCAATGTCAAGGACAACCAACGCGCATCAGTTAATGGTACGCCATGGACTGGCCCATGCGGCAGTGGTCTTACTTTCGCTTGTATCTACTTTAACTAATATATTTCTGTAATAACGTCCTCTGTGTTGTACACTCTTCAAAGCATCTATAGTACCTTGATACGTCGATGGGGTAATCTATGTAAGGTGCAGACCGCGAAGTGTGACTTCGACGTTAGCAAGTTTGTCACACCACTCACGTCTAACTCGAGTAAGCCTCCAATCATTTCGACATAGATCATCCACGCTGGTGATCTACAGCTCCTTTAGATTGGTGGATGGCCATTTTCAAGTTGGTTTACCCTGGCAATGTGGCAAGTCAAGGCTGCCTAGTAATTTGGAATTAGTTAAGCGCAGACTGAAGTGTTTAAATAGGTTTGCGAAAGATAATAGCATTTTGAAGGAATATCAAATTGTGATGGCTGAACGTTTAATTAAGAGCGACATCAATGAAACTGGCAAGAGAGGATTCGACCGTGATTCACTTTGTTGGGATACCACTCATCATCCTGTTAACAACCCTAAGAAGTATGGAAAATTAAGAGTTGCTTTTGATTGTGCAGCTATCCATTATAGTCATTCTCTCAATGATCATCTTTTGAAAAGATCAAATGCTGTAAATAGTCTGGCTGGTGCGCTTTTACGGTCCAGATTAGGTAAAGTAGGATTAGCCTCTGATAACAAAATATGTGTTCGGAGAATTCGGTTAACTGTCAGCAATATAATAGTGTTAGTGGGTTTTGTAATGAATCTCGCGGAAAACTGATTGACAATTCATTTGTATTTACAAGATACTTGATGTTTGTAGTCTTTATACGTGACAATACTGACAAGCAGTGGTTCATGCGATTTAATTTGTGGCTAATGATCATGGGAAAGACGGCTTTATATTTTGCGGACTCAAATAGTTGTTTGTGTGTAAATATGCAATTTTTCCTAAAGGAATGTACTAAGGGGACTCATTTTCTAAGAGAACTTGAGTTTGACAATGTTATTAATCGGAATCAGAATAAAGAGTTAGCCTACCTACTTTCGCAAACCTCTGATTTATGACCGGACTGTGAAAAAAGCCAATTGCTTACACTAAGGCTGTCGTTACCCTGTGGGAAGTGGCATGGCGTGCGATGGGATGGTATCATGAAGTTTGCGCGAATTTAACACCTGCGGCTTTTAAATGGCTAGGCAAAAACAGTTGCATGGGGCTGTATCAGTAATCCTGCCTGAACAAAAATAGATTGCTATCCGAAACCATTTTAATGGTGAATTCTACTAAAAGGAGTATAAGCTAGACATAACAAATGGTACTTGCTTGTTCTATACACAAATTGATGTGAAGTAACCTCAAGTAAGCTCAGAGTCGATTGACTCACATAAACCAACGGAGAAAGGATTGTCCACAAAGAGGTCTATTAGAAATAAAAGTTCAAGAAAGGAAGACTCCTCCATCATCCACTCCCCAAACAACGGCGAGAAAACAAACCTAGGAAACCTAAACACAAGTCTAGGCCTGTTTCTAGCAAAAACAACAGGAATTTAACTAGTATGTGTAACACGACTGTGACTGTTACTCCAATAAAAGTTGATAAATGAATGCAGATCAAGAATACGAAACGACCCAATATTATTATTGAAAAGTCAAACCCTCCAAACATTAGCTGAGATACTGAAGACGAATCATAATAACGGGTCAATTATTTTTCACAGAATCAATGAGATTAAAACCTCAAAACTCAGAGCTGGTTTCGAGCATGATATTGAGTTAAAACAGCTACTAAACCAACTAATGCTTCTGGATACCTCTGGAATCTACTTGCGTTTTGTTTGAGAAGCGTTGACCGTTTCAGCCAGTGTGGTAAAAACACACGAGGTAGAATGACGAGTTGTAGGTGTTGATGCTCATAAAGTAACCAATTCACCTTTCAACACATCAGCATTCACAACACGTGATGAAATATTTGACCCAAACACATAATTAAATGGGATTTTTTACTTAGTTACAGTAGAGCTTGACAGAATGGTAGGTGAATTAGACAAATCATTTGATGTTTCAAGTGACACAGTGGGAGCTTCTGTGCAAAAAAGAGAATGACTGTGTATTGGACTAGAAAAATTCTGTTCTATCGATTTAGCGTAAGGACAGTTTGTTCCATTAACGTTGATTTGAACTTCTTCTAGATCCGCGTTACTTTCCATAACGAACAAATTCAATTCCTCTACAAAAAAGAAACGCTAAATTAACACGCTCAAATCTGTGGGAAGTTTAAAATAAGCAGCCATGAAGGAAAATAATCTGACATATTTGACAGGACAATATCATTTGAGGATTTCATACAAAAGACTAAAAACCTGTCAGTTTTTAAGTTGACTAAACCCAGTCGTATATAACCTAAGAACACAGGTTGAAATTATCCTATTTTTAAACCTTGCTGAATTTTAAGTCATTATTCCGGCAACCAAGGGATTAAGCATCTACATGATACATCTTTGATTTCTAACCACCGGAAAGGATTCTTCGTGACGGTCGTAACCGTTAAGCGTCTTCAGCCTGTCTATCCTTTGATGTATCAAAATAAATCACATACACTAAGAAGTTGAAAACGTGCAAAGTAACGGGAATTGATGAGAATATTTCTGAAGAACCTAATCATGATAGAAAAGCTGATGTAGTTTAGGTTGATGCTGATTTTACTAATGACCCTTTGCTCTGCAATGACCTTTTTAACAAATTTGAGGAAACCATTTCAGAAGAATCAAATCTTAATGTCATATCAAATATTATTTGTCCTCACAATGCATTTGTTTCCCGTGAGAAACTTGTTCAATGCGAAGCACGAGTATTAAGTGAGCTCGATTCTGCTTACAATTCAGATGATTCCATATCAACTGTTGTTTATCCTTATCATAAATTTACTACCAATATGTACTCTAGTCAATGTGAGAAAGATGTTTTAAATGAAGCCACATTATTCATAACTCGGGGATATGAAGATCCGACATTATTTCGTGCGGGAGGATAGTCTGAATATCTATGGTTCAAATTCTATGTAGCAGTAGTTTCAAAACTCAACCTACATGATGATTGTACACAATCACAAGAAGCAAATAATACAGAGTCTTTATCCAATACACTGTCTGACAGACGTAGGATGAACTTAAGAAGAAGACGTACAATCAATTATGGACACTTAGACTCGAATTTAAGCTGAGGAGGATGTGGTGTTTGAATGAACTAATGATTCCTTTGTACTTGTTGAATGCTGGATTTCGAATTTCAAATACAGTACATTCGTTAGTGCTTGTGTAGTACTTCTTGATTGAATTGCGTTATTTCTGGGATTCTTAGTTAGTACTATAATTCAAATACTCCTAATTATCACATCCACTCAATTAATTCACTCCCTATCCTTGGTTTAGGTGTCAGTGCAAATCTATCTTGAAGTGACATTGTGTGTTTGGATGGAGAGAAACACATCTCAGACATCTTCGCACTCTTGTCTGAGGCTACCAGAAGACTATGAATCTTGTCGATATTTTCAGGAAACAGAGTTATATCATGTTTAGCTTAAGTTCAAAACAGAGTCTTTTGATAAATCGATTCCTGGTAGATTGATTAAGGAAAGTGTTATCTCCCAAAACATGTCTATGACAAGGCCAAATGGGAAACGGACGAGAAATGGGACTGTGGCTAGGAGTCGGTAGGTATGTTTGGGTTTCAGAACTTGATGACGAGCGAATATTTGTTATACGCAACTACTTCAACTGCTAAGACTAGAGCTCCATCGCTAATCCAAAAACCATGATGACGTCGCCTTTGATTCTTCTATATGACAATGGAACTAAGTTATGTTCAGCCTGTATCGGTAAATAAATTTACAAAATAAACAGTTCTGTAAGTCATTGACATTGGTGCCGAACTCATCAGTTTCACTGAACACACCTGGCTGAAGGTTCTCGGTCACGCACGCACTCCAGATCACTAGTGGGTACGCCGTGCTATGCATCCCATGCAACCACTAGCCAGCTTGAACAAAACTATTCTCGACGTATCAAAAGCGTTCTAAATATATGTTTCAGCCACTCCATTTCTAACTTCTGATTTGGCTGTGTTTGTTTATTTTGATTATAAAGGTGCTATGTGTAAACGCGTTGTAAAACCCCGAATAACTGTGACATCTCTATTGTTTTGCAAAATACCGAAATGTGTTCTAAATAATGTGATAATAAATTTCATAATAGACGTATATTTAGGTCCTCAAAAAATTATTATTGATAACTAAATGTAATTACTCGTAAAAATTCATTGACCCTGTCAAATATTCACAAAATCTCGGAGGCACTGGTGGGCGCCTTATAGTTTTTAATCTCGTACTTTTTATCAAGTTACTAGCAGACTGAGGTACACCCGAAAGACAGAACGGGATTTGTTATTATGACCGGGTTATACTAGTTCCATACTGTTATGTCTTTCGAATGTTTTCCAAAATCCCCGTCGCCAGTTGTTATGACTTGTGTATCGAATGCTACTTTTTGTATCTGGTCATCGCTGATTGTTATTTCAGAATCGCTGATCACTTATGCTAGGAACGACGGGGACCTTACAATTCCCACGACGCGAAAGTAAGAATACAAGACCGGTATAAGCGAAGTTTTATTAGCCCAAAACACTATGATGGCGACGACGACCTTAGTCGAAAATACACTCATTTATATTTGATTGTACACCCATTTTGATTGATAATCAGAATGAAATCACATACATGGAAAATACTCAGTTATCACAAATCACATATAAAGCATAGTTCATGTCAATTAAACACAAGAATATCTTATATTATACAGAATAAAATATCATACGAGAAAAGAAAATAAATACTACATTGAGCAATAATTACATTGAATCAAAACAGAATTAATGTTGAATAAAACTCATAATGAGTAAATCGATCGAAAATTGACTTTCTTTCCATCATATTACCCCACTTCTCTTTTGAAGACTCCATGTTGAGATCCATTTTTAAATTTTATGACTTTATCCTCCCCCACAAAACATTCTCGGATCTTCATATCCCCAAGTTACAGTTAGTGTGACTCTATTTAAAGTATATTTCTTGCATTGAGTAGAGAGTCCACTAGAATTGACTAGATAGTGAGGATCAACGGCACTAGATATGAGGTCATTAAGGTTTGATTCTTGTGAAACATTTTCATCAGATCTCTTGAGAATCTCACTGGTAGATAATCGATCACTAGAATAATCAGTATCTATCAAAATTTTACTAGGTTCTTGATCATCGTTTGATGCATCCGACAAATTCTTCTCATTTTTGCAAGAAATTTGATCAAAAGCATGTGAGTCATTAAGATAACTCAGATCTGATAATGCAAATAGAAAACCCCAATAAGTACATGCATCAGAAAATGTTGTCGTAGAATGATGAGCTCTCCGTGACCTTTCAATGACTCATGCAGCTAGCCTTTAGGGACCTAGTTCCGGAAGTGTGTATAGTTTACTCAGATTATATTGATGTTTATAAAAATACTCTCATAGAATATCACTGTATTCGGCTAGTTCTACAGCAATTTAGGAATGTTGGGTTAAGGGATCAATCTAGTAACTGGAGCTTATTGAGCAAAGAAATGACTGTTTCGGGAAGCGTGATAAGATATGGCAGTGTTTACAGAGATCCTGGAAAAGTAACTTCCGAAAAGAGTTGTCTCGTGATAAAACCTGATGAGGTACGTAGTTTTACTGGGACTTTTAGGTTACTACAGACGTTTTGTAAAAATCCATACGGAAATAGCTGCTCCCAGAGTGTTCGAAAAAGAAAAACATGAAATTTGAGTGGCTGGGAAATTGTAACAACACATTCAATGCTTTAAAATGAGCGCTCTGTCTAGCACCTGTAACAACTCAACTAATTCAAGTATGTACTTCAAAGACACAAGAGCGGGTGGAACAGCAATCTGGGCTGTCTTTTGGCAGATTGGAGCGGATGATAAAGAGCATGCTATAAGCAGGGATGGATAGGGGCTAGCAGAGAAATTCAAGACGCGCGTTCCGTTTTACTCGAGACGAAAAGCGCGTCCTGAATTCCACTGCTAGTTTCATCTATCTGCCTTTCGACCGGAACGTCAACAATAAGACTTGGATTTCCTATCATGACAATCAGCCAGACCATATAGAGACTTCCCTTCTTTTAAAGAACTTGGCAATCATTCCACTTCTTTAGCACCACTCGATGATAAAATTCGGGTACATAAAAACACAGGTGATTAAACACCCCTACTGTACTGAGCTATCTCTGGCGACAAACTAATGCCGTCTGAAATAAAAAATAAAAAAAAGGTTGGGAGACGAAGTGCTTATGGGCTTTGTAGGACCAGCCAGTATCAGTCAAAGAAATCTTATGTGTTCAATCGGTTTCAAATTATACACAATGAGTAGTAGCACCACAATCAGTAGTTACAATAATATTGGAAAACGTCCATACGCATATTGGAAATATTACGGCGATTTCGTAAGTGGTCAGTTTGAATCTCTGATTTCAGCATATTCATTGGCTCTTTATGTTAGCATCCTTTAGGTAATAGACATAAAGGCTTATAGTCAAAAGATCTAAAAATCTTTCTGATATATCAGATATCGAGTGAGGAATAGGAAGGGGTCATATGTCCTACATGCTTTTTGATTGTGTGTCGTAACGATACCAGAAAGAGAATAAGGCATATCTTCAACTTATTCCCTTTCGTCAGATGGTTTATTGTTCAAGTGTTAAGACGAGTAAAAGGAAACAGGCCAATGTTATGGCAGCAAATGAACAAAGTACCATAGGAATGAAGGAATTTTGGAAAGTGGAAGCAGATGAAGCTTATGTAGATCTTTAGAATGCAGAAAGGCGAATACAGTGCTTGGATATTTAAATGACTCTTGATTTTTTGACCATATGTTGTCATTATTAGTATTCGTATTCTCGAGATCATGAATGGGCCTCTTTGCTTTACCGACGAAGCCAGTTAAGTTTGTTGTAAGATTTCTTGGTAGGAAGTTAAATTAATTCAAGGTTACGAGCATGAGACAAGGACATAGTTGTAATTGGAAAGTAGCAGCAATATTACTAACCATTTAATTTGAACTAGACCACAAGAAGCCACAAACAGATAAAATGCATTGGCCTACTGACATGGGTAGATTG